TGCTACCAAAAGACTAGCTCTTTGCTTTTCCACCCCTGACTTACAACTCTGTCACCATTTCTAGGCCCCTGAAGTAGGGGCAGACAGCATCTGGTGGAGTTTGGAGCTGACTCACAGCAGCTGGAGTACATGGAAATTTGGGAAGATCGGCATTTGGCACTGCACTGAGGACAAAAATCTGAACTTGGACACAGCTTCTGCTACCAGGCTTCATTGAGGATACATTTAATTGCGTGTTCCCCTGAGTTCCCCAGTAGATTGGAGTATGTCCCCTGCAATCCACTGAGATGGGAATGTATTTCAGCAGCTCCCAATACCTGTTAAAGTCAAGCCTTTAAAACTGTATCAGGGTGCTTGATCACCCAGCTGGCTGCAAGGGCAGGATCCGTCTCAGCTATCTTCAGCCATCTCAGTGAGCCGGGTAGGCTCCCCCTGTAGTAAGTGGAGGAAGATAGGCATCTGCAGAGAGTAATCCATCCCACCTCTCTCCTTCTGTTAAGAGGAGCCCAGATAAGGAGATCAGAGCAGACACATTACTTCTGTATGGCTGGAGTTAGACAAGATGAATTCCACCCTCTTTGTCCAAAGCACTAACATATGTAGTTTCTCATTACTTACCACAGTTGCAACGCCTGTTACTCATTGATTTAGAAACAGATTTTCTTGGTGCTATTTCCTTTTCTTTGTGCAAAACTTTCATTATGCAGTTTTTGCACCCTAGCACTCAGGAACATAAGTGACAAGACATTTCCTCTACAGACCCACAAGTACACCTGCAGACCAGGAGCTCTGTGCATCTTGAGTCCCTCTGAGCCCACCTGAGCAGCAGTGTAAAACCCCCAGTGATGCAAAAAAGATCAAGCAGAGGCTGTTTTTAAATTGGCTCTCCAAGAGCCCCAAATTCCCATGCTTTGCTTCAGGTCACTTGGGTTTCACTTGCTTCGAATCATTTTGGAACAGTACCTAAGAGGCCAGCATTGCTTCTGTGAAACAATGCTGCTTGGGGACCAAACATCTACGACCATGCTGCCAACATTAATCCCTGAAATGTGCCTCATAGAATGATCTGGGTTGGAAGGGACCTTAAAGCTCATCCAGTTCCAACCCCCTGCCACACACAGGGACACCTTCCACTAGAGCAGGTTGCTCCAAGCCCCATCCAACCTGGCCTTGAACACTGCCAGGGATGGGACAGCCATAGCTTCTATGGGCATCCTGTTCCATTGCCTCATAGATGCAGTATTTCATCTGCAAAGGTATACTTGAACGTGTTGATTTTTCAGCCTCCCTGCAGGGCAGACAGACAGTGCAACCCTTCCTGCTTCCAGCCCTTGGCCATCCCAGCAATGCCATAATCCAATAATCCAGCCTCCAACTGTTTCCAAGAGGGGGTGTGGAGGAAGACAGGTCCTGGGCTGCGGTATCTCCATAGTGCTGCATGCTCTCAGCATGGTGGTACCTCGTACCACTGCATGCCTCACATGCCGAAACACGCAGCACCCATGGTCTGGGTAACAAGGGCGTGAGTCAAATGGGGCTAGTTATGAGCTTGGATTCTACCATTCAGAGATAAGCTTCTCCATGGTTACCAGTCTCATGCAAGGTCACTCTCCTGCCAAACCCCCTCTCCTCCCCTCCTCCCTGTCTCCCCCTCCTTCCACCTCCACTATTTATTTTTTTTCCCAAACACACTACATCAAAAGAGAAAATGAAAACATTTAGGATAATCACAGTCTGGCTATTTTAATGCAGGCGGTAGGAAAGGGAACATGTAAGCCAAGTGCTTTCACTGTGCAAGCAGAAACACACTCTCAACCTCATAAAAGTGGTATCTGAGAAATAACACTTGATTAAAGCGGCCAGTCCTTCACTTAAGTAGGTGCTTATGGTAGGGAAAATATCCAAGGTTTCTCTAGAACAGGCTGCTGGCCTATCACAGAAAGCAAAGAACAGGCCAGGCAGATGAATTATTGCGATACAGCTGGTTTCAGCTGGGCTACGAGGAGATCCCTATTATCCCGTCCACCTTTCTTACACTAATGCCTCTCCCCAGAGAACCCGAGTCATTAAAAGCCAGCTCATTTGCCCCTGCCAGGCAATATGCATTGAGTGAGAGGTGATACATTTTCATTTTCAGCAAGAAATCTCAGTCGCCCCAAGGAGCAGCTAGCTCCAGAGAGTGGTAATGGAATACGAGGGCTTTCATCTCTGCCTTGCTGCCACAAGCATGGCCTGGCTCAGTAGCAACCCAAAACTTGTTAGCTAATGGGTTGTTTCAGTGACCTCCGTGGAATGAGTTTAGTGGGTTTGGGCTGGTTTTCAGTAGACATTAACTAGAACCACAAGTGGTGTTAAACAGAAACTGTATTAACTGGTTGAATGCATGGCAGGTAAGGACCGAGTGAAGCACCCATGTGTAGCCGTGCCATTGCTTTCCCTACCCTTTGGGGCCATGCATGATAAACCAGCAACAAAAAAACATCTTATCAACCATTTCACATTCTTTAGGAGCTCAACAGTATCTAGTAGGCACTGCTCCGAGTTGGAAATACCACAAACTTGAGCTACCAAAGAGCTTTCCAAAGACTGTGCCCTGCAGTTCAGCCTTGCTGAAATGTGCCTTAAAGTGCATTCTGCAATGGTAAAATTCCCTTTTTGTAAGTAATTCCTCATTTTAACACATTTAGTGAATGGGGAACAATGCTACATCTCTCCAGGAAAACAAACCACCGCCATCCCTCTTTACTTTTTTCCTGTTCAATGCAGCCTGCAGCCTCAGGCTGAGCTATGCCTGTGACAATGATGGCCTATGGAGTCCAGAATAATGCACCATTAGAAAAGCTTGCTCCCAGGTAAAAAGCAGAATTCACCCTTAAGTGAAAGTGGCTTGAATCCTTACACCACTCCTCCAACATACCCTGGCAATAATATATGCCATGCCAGTTCCTCTGCCGCACTTCCACAAAAGACTCACTAAATAGTTACAATTTGAAATCCCAGAAGAAATCTTCAGTGAGGAGCTACCTTTCATGTGTTACAGCCTGCACAAGTTGCAGCACATCACAGACAAGCCTGTTCACATCACATTGCATGGCTAGATATGTATCTCTAAATAAGACATCCACCAACTGCTTAGATAACAGATTCACTGGGGACCCATTCCCATAAGGGAATGGATGTAAAGCAGGCAACAAGCTGCTATCACAACCCTGAGGATGCCCTTGTTATTTGCTTTGCCTTGAAATTGCACAGGAATCCCCAAATTCTGAAAGAAAAGGGTGAGAGGGTAAAAAAAGGCATTGCACAGAGAACCAAGGCAGGACAGGTATGGCTTATGCATAGATGGTATTTCTTCTGTTGTCAGTAACATCCAGCATTAGAGATGGACATCTTATACAAATGTCATGAACATCCAAACCCATCATGCCTTCTGTTTCAGAAGGGATCATTAGGCCTCTTACCTGATACTTTAAATGTATCACTACCAGTAGCTGATGTGTTTCCTTCTCTAACACAGCTGACACTGGTAACTGTCAGACAGACCCTCAGGTCTGACCCTATGTTCCTATATTTCCTTATATTGCTCTGCCCAAATATCTCCCACATCCCATGTTCTTTTTGGAACTGTTACTTTTGTTATTTAGGGAGCAAAGGAAAGTTGATAAAGGAGATACTGGCACACCAACGTCTGGGCAATAGGCAGTATCTGTTCAGCACTTATAAAAGAGCAAAGCACAGCCTGAAAATATTCAAGCACGTCTCCACAGACTTCTCAACCATTCAGACCTGTCTTCCCCTGAGGAACATTAACTAAGGAAAGCTACTGCTTTACAGCTGAAGCTGAAGTGAGCTAGGGACCAACCAAGTACAGACGGAGCAACTTTCCTCAGCCTGGGACTGAACTGAAGCCCAAGGCACATAGTATCACTGCAATGGCATATTTTCATTATTACAGGATTAAAACTTAACAAATAAATAAATAAGTACCTACATCAAAAGAACAACAAAACACAATTACCCGAGCAGCCCAATTCTCCACAACAGCAGTGATGATTTAGTGTAAATTAATTTTGCACATCCCCAGGTATTTTTCCCCACAAGAGTCCAAGTTCTCTGCAGCAGTTTCATTACAACTATGTATGTGTGTCTACGTACAAATACATATTAATTTTTGAGTTCTATCCTTTTCTCCTCCCTTTGTTATTTTATTTTCATGAGGCAGGAGAGCTGTGCCTGGTACTGACAAAACTCTTGGTATGCTACTGAAATGCAAATTCCCCAGCCTTGCATTTTCTGCTGATAACCAGCTCATCAATTGCAACAAAAGCAGTGATTTGAATTTTGCCTTTTAGTGGTCTCACTGATCACACCAAGGAAGTCAAAGTTATCTGCCCCAACTCATATAGCATTATCTTTTAAACTTAATGGAAGTGAAAGAGAAGCCCGTGCTCATTACCCAAAGGATGCAATTATTACTTCCTCTCTATATTGTTGCTAGTCAAGAATAAATTCCAGGATATGACCTCTTCATTAAGCATTAAGCCAAAATCCACCTGGGACAGCCTAAGGAGGCTACCCTTATCCTTTCACTCAGTAATTCAGAGAAAAGGCCCTTGCCACATAGAGCTGAAAGGAATCCTTGCAAAAGATCCTTTCAAGGAAACAGCTAATAAATGTTAATCAATAGATGAAGCCCCAAAAGCTTTCTGTCTCCTCCTGCATGATCCCACTACAAAAAAAAGCATCATTAATATAACACATTGAGCCTCTTCCAAATACCGTGCTTTGTGTACAGTGTAAGTTCATAAAAAAGATGATAAATTTAGAGTATGAGTGATAGAATGTATTAGTACAGTGAAGTCTTCAATAGAAAACTGAAATCTAGGAGAAGAATGCATAGTAGTGTTGAATTCCTTATATTTCTTGCTTTGTTATGGCAATAATAATGTGCCTTTTGAAGTTCATACAGGCAGATACAATGCCAAAAGGCAAATACTTACAATACAAGAGCACTTGGTACATTTATTTCCTTCAGGCCTAAATTCTTCTCCTTCATTGTAAAGTCTCCCTTCAAATATACAACCTGGAAAATAGCATTTGGATAAGTTTAGCTCAGCATAGCACACTGCCTTTTCTCTGTAACAATACTCTATAACCCTACCATAGGACAATACGAAAAGTAAATCGTACCACCCTCTCTGACACAAATACTTCAGAAGCCTTTACAAAGGCCTTGAGAACCCCCAGATGTCTTTTTGGGGAAAGAAAACATTCTTCTACAGCGCACAAATTTGCACCAATGAAGTCAAGACTAAGTCAGCTCTCCCATTGAAAGTGGCTTTAAAACACTTTTCCAAGTTGTTTATCTTTTACTACTCGTTCTTACCTCCAAGCTTATATTATATGTTGGCAGAAATTATAACTGATTAGAATATAATAAGCCCATTGTATCATAAGTGGAGCAGTGCTTACCTACAAAGCCTCTGATTAGCCTATAGGTAGCAACTAGCCTCACAAAGGTAGTCTTCTTTTTCAGGATTACTCTTACACTTTCCCTCCTAACACAACCCCAGCCATCAGCCAGGAAAATCCAACTGACAGACCCTCTGAAAAACAACATAAATACACCTGTGGATATTGACACAAGCTACTGCCTATGCAATAGTCTGCCTCTGCTCCACTAAAAGATATTAAGCCTGGTCTGTCATTTAATGGATTGCAAGCCATTGGCCTCCGTTTTTGTCAAGTATAATGGAGAATTTAGAGGCAGTCTCCCAGATAATGATGCTTATCATTAGAAATACAGTTGCACATGTGGAACAGCATCTTCCTATGAAATCTCACCTGGACACACAGGGCAACATATTCCCATGAGTTTGGTAGGATTTTTGCAAGGGGCAACACACTGTACCTCCGACTCTACTATCACTCCTTCCTGAAAAAGAAGCAGATCAGACATGTTCATTGTTTGTGTTCAGGTTGCTTTAACAAGCAAAAATCCACTACTACTAGTGGTACAATTAAAGCCCAGCACATGCCACAAAGCACTGGATTTCAAAACCTCTTTTCTTTCTGTACCTGCTGCCTTGTATCAGGAATTCAGGTTAATCCACAGTCAAAAGATCCACTTGAGTCTCTCTGACTCCAGTCACAGGATTTGCCTTAAAATGGAACAGGTAAGAAACCAAGCACCTTCTTAGGAAAAGGAATCCCGCTTTATCAGGAATCCTCAGGCTCAATAATCTGCCATGCAGCTCTGGTGAACACAGGCCAAACACTAGGCATTCTCGTCCCTCTCCCCTTGGAGTTAAAAAGACCTAGAAAGCAGATAAAAGCATCTTGCTCTGTAGAGGGGAGATGCTTATCTTTAATGCTTTGCCTGATAAGTATTAGCAAATTAACATTTCCTGTACTCCTTGCTGGAGAAGTCAAGAGTCCTCCTGAACAAATCTGGGTGTGAGGATCTGTGTACAAAAGGCTGCTATTTTCTTGTTTTGCAGTTGAAGCCAAAGGAACTGTGTGGATCAAGGGTAAACACCATCACCCAGTTTTGCATTTAGGCACTGAAACAGGCAATAAAGAATTGCTCATTTCATGTAATTAGTAGTTGTAAGAGTATCTGAGTTCACATTGTATCTTTTCATTAAGTGCAAGAATGCAGAATACAGTTGCTCTAACGTCATCCTTCTCAGTGTATGTCTCTTTAAAAACACAGGTGTGTTTCACAGAGCAGAAGCATCACAGAAAAACAGAAACATCTTGAAACTCTCTTGTTTGTAGAAACGCTTCATACTCATTCATTTCTCTTCTTTCTAACAGCTGCAATTCTTAGTAGTTACTATTAAAACCAGATCAAATTGTCAGAAAAAAATGCCAGACCTATTCACAGACAGAAACTAAAATTTCCTACATGCTTCCTTGTTTTGTGCTGGAAAATGGACAACCTTGCAAATGCCATGGTAGCAGATAGACAAGCTACCAAAAGTACTACTGGGTAGCAGTATTTTCCAGTGCAGGAGCCCAGGAAAAGAAGATTCTGTTATGGGTTTCTCTTAAAAGAACATCCCAGGTATAACCCATAAACACAAAAGTGTCTGCTTAGTGAAATACTACTTAGTAAAATAATTTGTATCTCACAAAAGGCTTAGCATGCTGAGAAAAAGAGGACTTATTTCAATATCAAGACAGCAGGAAATGGCATGGCTGTGTCCCTCTCCTTCAGCAGTGTTTTGGTATTGTGGTACTCAAGTCACATAAAACCTATCCTTCTGAATGTTTGGTTATAGCTAGCTGCATCTGAGTGGATTTAAACTACTTTAAATGCAAAGTCCATATTGTGCTTTGGGAATAAAATATTTCAAGTTACTTGAAGCAGATAAAAAAAAAAAAGTCCCAGAATTTCATGGGAAAAGCTCACAACTCCATTAGCACGATGCTGATGACATCCTTACCTGGCACTGGTATGTAACACAGGGATTGCTGGGGTGGTGCCATTTCATAGAGCTGTTGTATGTATTTCCTCCAAAACTGCAATCTAGAGGAAGACACAGAAGCACATCAGTTCAGCTGAACACAATGATGGCATAGGAGGCTGCTGCTGAAAATCACAGAGCAGCATCCTAAATGCAACCCATCCTCTCTCTCCTGGGTGAACAAAAGAGATAGAGCTTAGAGCTGGGACTGACAAGAAGGGTCATGTCCTGGGAGGGCTGGCAGCACCACCACCATCTGTTCTGATGCTTGACTGGCCAAACTCCTTACTATGACTATTCAAGGCAACGGAAAATTAGTGACAATTTACGCAAAAATGGTGCTTATTCTGCAGTCCATTCAGGAGCTCCTCTGCCACTCGTAGTGGAGTGGGGAGAGGAAGGAGAGAGGGCAAGAGAAGAGCTGGAAACATTCAGCATCCCAGCCTGGCCATGATACCCTCATTCATTAACCAAACCCCCTGGGAAGAGCTTTTCAGCCAGGGCAGCTCAGCATGGACAAACTGACATCAGCAGAGCTACCCCTCCTTTATACCTTTTCACTCCCATGACAGAAGAGATCAACATCCATACCAGCTAAAAGACATCAAGCTCTTCAGTGTGGGAAGTGGATCTCTGAGTGGGGCCATTTTGGAGTCCCACAGGGTTTGGCCTGACATGTCTTTCTGTGTTACATGACAACTTTGTTAACAGAAAATAGGCTGGCTTGCCTGTGGACAGGCTCAGCACACACTTTTTTGTGCAAAATGAAGCTTCATTGAGCCATTTGCTCAAAATAAAATAAACATTACTTTCCTCACTTTTATTACATGTTCCTACTAGCTTCCCTTCCCACTCTTTCACTCTTTTCTGGTATTCTGCACAAAGGGAAACCCAAAAAGGAACACAAAGAAGAATAAAAGAGCTCAACAGAAAAGCACAACTAGAAAAGACATACTGAGTGGAATAAATATTTGTTTCAAAACAGTTTATGAATGCAAAGTTGTTTCAATTAAAAATTAATTCTTTGGAGACCAAAAGTGTTTCTGAAATAAATATAGAAATAAATAAATACAATTAGAAGCAACACATATGCTGTTTTCTGCAGGAAAAGTGCCCATTTTCCATTTTCTGCTCCAAAGGCTTTTTCCTAGTCTATTTTATCCAAAATGAGCTTGATCAAAGAGCCTGTGAAACCAAGAGGAGTCTTGCCAGAGACTTTGAAACACAGACTTCTACAGAGATCCACCAAGCACAAAACTACAGTCAGTCCAGTGATGCCCACAGCACCATCCTCTTCCCGCATGCCACCTCAGCAGCTACTCTAAGTCATTCTATTCTGTGTAGGGTGCACTGACCTGAACTGCTTTGGGCTCCATTTTATGCCCTTTTGAAAACTAAGGTGAGTTATCAGCAAAATAACTGTAAACATATAAAATATATTATAAAATATATATTATATATTTATATTCTTAATTTATATTTTTGATTTATTAAATATTTATTTATCATTTCTAAATATGAATATTTATAATATTTTAATAAAAGTATTAAATTCTTAATCTATATTTTTAATTTTAATTTTTATTTTAACACATATATAATATATTATAAAATAACATCAGAAAAACTGTGTAAGAAAACTTGAGGGTCACAGTTCTGAGCTGCTGAGGAACTGAAAACCCCCACAAAATCCTTTTTGAATTCAACCCAAAAGTATATTTCTTTTTAGGTAGCAAAGCCCCAGTTTCGAATAACAGAAGAAATGTTCAGATTCACAGCATATTAAATACAGTTCTGTGGGAGCGCTCACACAGGCAAACCAACATTTCAAGAGAGATGCAGGAAGCCCTAAGCTCCTCTTATGTGTTTTGAAGTCCTGTTCTGAAAAACATCCAGCTAAAGTGCAGTCTCACTGCTCACTGCAAACCCGGATGAGTAGCAAAGCCTGTTCAAAATGGTTTAGCATCCTCAAGTTGCAGAAGCCCGAGCCATACTGATCCCAGTCTGAGAAAGAGTTTACATGTGTGCTGGACTCTCAAGATGGAACAAGCTGTGCTGTATGTGTGTGTATTCTACAAGATGGATCTGATAGCTTCAGCACGGTGCAGAATCAAGGGCCAGGCTGGAAACTTGCAACTGCAAAATACCTTGCATATTTGTTCACCAATTATGTTCTTTAATTTAAAACATTTCCTCTGTCAGAAAGCTAATGACCCTGGGCTAATCTGCATGTACAGATGTGCACATTGAACTGAAATTTGCAGTCCAAGGATTAGTCTGGTCAAGAAAGCATGAAGGTGGTGCATCCGTGCAGTCACCACTGCTCTCACTTGCCAAGCTGTGCTACAAAATCCTCTGCCCTGCAGCACCAGCCATTGCCCCTGTGGAAAGCAGCAAGGGGGGAGCCAAACTCTGCCTGCCCACAAGCCCTTTCTGTTGCTGATATGTGGTGCTAGCAGCACTAAGGGAGGCACACCAGAAGTAACCGTAGCAGGGAGAGCTTGAATACCAGAATGGAACAGCCTGGAGAAGTATTGGAGACACTAAGATTGCTCTCAAGCTTTGGCACAGGCCAGCAGAGTAAGGGAGGCAGAGCAGCATCATGCAAGCACCAACATGAAGTACGGTGGGAGCAGGATTTCAAAAGACGCTCAGTGGAGGAAAACAGCACAAAGGGAGAGTTAGCCAGTAACACAAGCAGGCTTGGTGAGAGCTGGATGAAGACTGAATGTCAGGCAAACAGAAGAGAAGTAAAAAAGGAAGGGCTTTACAATCTCTGTTTCTGAGAGAAATGTACCCCAATGGCCCTTTGGACGCCCCAGATCTACACCCACTTTTGTTCTTCAAAAGGAGAAAGAAACAAAGCCCACATCATGGCTACTTTTTCTGAACCTTACTTTCAATGTACACATCTCTCAGCTGACACATGCAAACACAGACCCAGTTTCATAAACCACCTTCTCATAGCATGGAAGTTTATGAGCCTCACCTAATTTCAGCTGAGTGAAACCTGCCTCACACATATGCCAGCTCAGTTGAGCCATTCCAGCTCGCCCATGCTTAAAGGTCCACCATATTTGGCTTGGAAAGTAGCAATCACTGAAGTTTAACCATGCCAAGTGCAAGGTCCTACACCTGGGTCAGAGCAATCCCAGGCACAGCTACAGGTTGGGCAGAGAAGAGATTCAGAGCAGCCCTGCAGAGAAGGACTTGGGGGTGTTGGTTGATGAGAAAATGAACATGAGCTGGCTTCAGTGTGTGCTTGCAGCCCAGAAAGCCAACCGTATCCTGGGCTGCATCAAAAGGAGCGTGACCAGCAGGTTGAAGGAGGTGATCCTGCCCCTCTACTCTGCTCTTGTGAGACCTTACTTGGAGTATTGTGTGCAGTTCTGGTGTCCTCAACATAAAAAGGACATGGAACTGTTGGAACAAGTCCAGAGAAGGGCCATGAGGATGATCAGGGAACTGGAGCACCTCCTGTATGAAGACAGGCTGAGGAAGTTGGGGCTGTTCAGCCTGGAGAAGAGAAAGCTGCGTGGAGACCTCATAGCAGCCTTCCAGTATCTGAAGGGGGCCTGTAGGGATGCTGGAGAGGGACTCTTCATTAGGGACTGTAGTGATAGGACAAGGGGTAACAGGTTAAAACTTAAAAAGGGGAAGTTTAAATTGGATATAAGGAGGAAATTCTTTCCTGTTAGGGTGGTGAGGCACTGGAATAGGTTGCCCAGGGAGTTGTGAATGCTCCATCCCTGGTGGTGTTCAAGACCAGGTTGGACGAAGCCTTGGGTGATATGATTTAGCATAAGGTGTCCCTGCCCACGGCAGGGAGGTTGGAACTAGATGATCTTAAGGTCCTTTCCAGCCCTAGCGATTCTATGATTCTATGATCTCATGTCCAAAGGCATCAGCAAAGTCCCCAGTGTCAATTTCTACAATAGAGCATGGCAAAACATACTTCAAGTTCCTAAAAGCCACTCTAATTCCCTTTGGAAATACTGTTATATTAACTCACTGTCTCCATCCACCATTTGAAAGGGAGAGCAAGAGAAAATAAATCAAGAAAGATCAGAGCTTAGCACAGTCACTTAAACACCATCCACTTACTCTGCCTGAATACATACTCACACCAAAACTTTAAAAGAAAGGGCTACAGAGGAGGTTTTCAAGAGCGGAAACCCCAAAAGCCTGAGAATGTTCTAAGGAGTACATGAAAATTCAACATTAATCGGTAAATTTGATCCCATGACATAGACCCCAGTATATGGCATCTCTTTAGGATTCCACATAGAGAAGGAAGTTAAATATCAGTGGTCCATTTCAATTTTAATGGAGCTAAGGTGATTCATATTAGTCAAGGACTGTGTCCCAATTTTTTTCCTGATTCTTTCTTTTAAAATAGCTGGTGTTTTATTAACGTAAAATATTAACTTTCAGTTGGTTGTAGGTTTTGTTCCTATTACCTACTCCAACTCAAATAGCTCAGATAAGTCCTGGATAAACACGCAAGCTGAAAAGTTGCTTATCTGAATCAAACCAAACCACTGAATACTTTGAAGTCAGTCACTGTTGTATATGCAGTGGAAATTGCTAATGACCTTCTAGTTACATCGTAGAGGCAAAATGATCTCTAGACTTGAGTCACTCCTGCACAAAAGAAAAAAAAGATTATAAAATAGTTAAATCAATTCTGATTTTCTAATTTAGCTACTTTGTTTTAATGGTGTACATGCCTTACTCCAGCACCTAACTTTCAAACATGCTCTACCAACCTCTGGCTGCTTTAATTTGAAAGAGAGCAATTTAATCCAAACACAAGCATCCTCACACAGAACTGGACTGGACTAACAAAAGAGGCAAATTATAGTAGATTTTGTTATTGGCATGTAGACAAGTTAAAAATCAGGAAGCCATTTGTCTTTCCAAATCCAGCAACATTGTTAAATGACCCTTCTTTTGCCTTCCCCAGACACCCCAGCACAGAGGAGTATCATATGAAGATAGGGAAATGGACTGTAAGAGACAGTTTAGTAGTGCTAAAGCTCAGTCAGTGTCCTCAGCAGTT